AATTGTGAAGGGAGAAAATGATTAAATAGTTGAAATAAAGTAAAAGGGTTACTAATTAATCTATATAATCCACTTTAGTGTTTATGATCATCTTTGATCTATAAATATACTATGATTTTTAGGTAAGGGTTGTTAACTAATTGATCACTCTTGAGATTAGAAATAATATTTAAACTATATCTATTCACCCTATGATTTTCAAGCAAAGAGTGATTGATTCATTAGTATTAAACCTAGTGACAATCTTTGATCTATATGCACTCTATAATTTTCGGGTAAAGAATATTTATATGACCAATCAATCTTAAATTGATTGATCTCTCTTAAATCTATGTGACTCTGCCATTATTTTTAATGTGACAAACTAACAAAGAAATTGAAGAGAGATAAAAAGAAAGAAGTGGTCAACTTACTTGCTTTGAAGAAAATAAAGAAAAACGGTGTAGACAGATAATTGTGAAGGGAGAAAAGGATTACATCGTTGAAATAAAGAAAAGGGGTGTAGAGTGTAGACTGTAGACTGTAGACTGATAATTGTAAAGGGAAAAAGGTATTAAATAGTTGCAAAAAAGAACTAATTAATCACTCTAGATCTTAATGACTTTATTTGACGTATAAACACCTTAAAATTTTTCATGTGAGGGTTGTTCAATTAATTGATACCGCTTGACCTTATGACTAGTATTTAAACTATATGCACCTTATGATTTTCAAGCAAAGAGTGATCGATCTATTAATGTGACGATCTTTGATCCATTATTTTTAATGTAAAAAACTAACCAAAAATGATTGCTAATTAATTATATATAATCCACATTTAAGAGACAATTAATTATTTTTTCTTTTTTATTTTATACTTATCATTAATAATTTAATTATTTATTCACAAACTAATTAGAATGTTAGTAGTTAAATTAAATTTTCTCAAAATAAATACTTGATTAACGATTTTTTCAAACGAGTGCAAAATGCAAATTAAACAAATAAATAAGAACAAGGAAGTACTCCATTTGTCTCAAACTGTTTTTGTGATTTATAAAAATAATTGTCTCAAATAAGTTGTTATCTTAAAAATTCAAGACAATATTAATATTTTCTTTCATTTTACTCTGATTGATAACTCTTCTGCAAGACTATAAACATCTCAATAGAGTAAATGAAAGATAAAATAGTAAAAAACTCCTATTCTTCTTCTTTTTATAAAAAAAATGCGAATAAAAGAAAAACACAATAGATAATTGAGTCAGAAAAAGCAAAAAAAGTTATCGAAGACAGTGCAACGATACTCACCTCAGCCTCTCTAGCGACATTAGTTACCAGATTCATTCAGTGACAATCTTAGAATAAAGAAGTCCTTCAACTTGTTTTACATCAAATACAAATTTTCTCCAAGAGGTTGATTTGACCAAAACGCACAAAGAAATGTTTAAGCATGCAATTACATTTGTCAATCAATAAAATAATGAGATTGACATGTTTTAAAAACGTGTTGACGAAACCTTATTTTCTTTCTTTTGTGAAAATAATGTCTTTTTTGTTTGTTTGTTTACTATTTTGTAACTGAAATTGAGACTCTTGTACTTATGCTCAAAAAGGAAGTTTTCTTGTTTGCTTTATAAGGAACTCTATTATTATGGCTGAATCTAAAATATTTAGTTAAAAGAATAGACTAATTGTAATTCATGAAAATTATTAAGATTTTCAATTTTATACCAAAGATCATGATAAACACCAAAATATAAAATTTATGGAACACTCTTATCAAAAGATTTGAGTGGATCTAAAGGCTTAAAATCGAAATATTATATTAGACATAAATAATCGAGAGACATATTTCTAAACTTACAACCGACGATAACAACATTATCTGGCTATTTTTCCAAATAAAAAATTGAGATCGAAAACTCATAAACCGGCAATAACTGATTGTAATTACAAATAAATTGAGTTTGAGAATTACCGACAAATACAGAAAAAAAGTTATTTATTGTCGTATACACCATACTACCCAGAACTTTAATCGAAATGTTATATTAGGCATAAAATTGTTAGAGACTTATTTTCAAACTCACAACCGACAATAACAATCATTAACTAGGCGTAATTCCAAACAAATTGAGGTCGAGAACTCATAAACCGACAATAATTATTCGTTGTTACAAATAAATTGAGTTTGAGAATTTCCGACAACTACAGAAAAAAAGTTATTTGTTGTCGTATACATTATATTGTCCAGTTTAACTTTAATTCAAATGTTATATTAGGCAGAAAATAATAAGAGACTTATTTTCAAACTCACACCCGACAATAACAATCATTAACTAGGCATTATTCCGAGCAAATTGGAGTCAAGAACCGATAAACCGACAATAACAATATAAAGTAGTCGGAAATCCAAATAAGTTGAGGTCGAGAAACCATAAACCAGCAAATAAAGAAAAAAATAGAAAATATTATTTGTTGTCATGTACATAATACAATGACATACCTAATATAATCCTACAAGTGGAATCTAGTTAAGGCAGAGCGTATGCAACCTTTTTTTTTTTTACCTTGGGAGGTAGAAAGCTTATTTCCGCCAGAACATGTGCTCAAGAAAAACTAATAAAGCACTTTAGAAAAAGAAATCACATAAGTGAGACAACACTCCAACTTACTAGACTTCTACCCTAATTGTGTCCTCTATAGCCTCCTATCTAAGACCATGTTCTGGTAAGTTAAAGATGTCCATATCCTGTCGAATCACCTCCCCAATACTTTTTCGATCTGCCTCTACTTTTTCTGAAACCATCCATAGTCAACCTCTCATACCTCTTATTGTGGCATTTGTACATTTTCATTTTACATGCCTAAACTATCTTTGTCTTATTTTTTTGCATCTTGTCCTCCACTGAGACCATATCCACCTAACCCAGATGTCTTCATTTCTAATTTTATTTCTCATAGTAAGCCTACAAATCAATCTCAACACCCTTATTTCTATAACTTTCACCTTATGAACGTGAGAGTTCTTGACTGATCAACACTTTACCACATACATAGTTGGTCTACTCACCACTATGTAGAACTTGTCTTTACATTTTGATTGAACCTTCTTATCACACAAGCCTCCATATGTGAGCCTTCATTTCATCCACCCTACATCAATACGATGTGTGATATCACCATCAATCTCCCCACTACCTTGGAGGCTTGGACAATAGACCTAAGATACTTAAAATTGTCTCTCTTTTGGATGACATATGTATCAAGTCTCACTTCCACATTAGAATCATGTAATGCATCACTGAACTTGCATTCCAAGTATCTTATATTGGCCCTACTTAATTTGCATCCCTTAAACTCAAGAGTCTATCTCCAAACTTTCAGCTTTATATTAACTTTGTCACTAGCCTCGTCATATACATAATATTAAAGTAATTTGTTTGAAACTTTTTAATGGACCTTTTACGTAACTATACATACAAGAGAAAAAGTTTTCAACAAAAAATGATTGAACGTATATGGTATATGTAATGTATCGATATAATATAAATAATATATAATTATATTTATATTTATATATGGTGTATATAACTAATGTATAAGTGTATATATATGTATAACTAGTCATTTTTAACATATTAAAATAAAATAATTATTTTTCTCATATTTTACTCTTAATATTAATTATTTAATTTTTTAAATCATCATTTTCTTGATGGATGTGTCAAATCCAAATATAATAAGTGAAGATAAATGGAGAAAGTATGAAATAAGAACATCAGCCAACTACCGTTGAATCTCTTCTCATCCACTCTTTAATATCTTCTTTAAATGCACAACTTCCTACCTTCGCTATATAAACCAAACAAAATTCCCAAATTAGTTGTCTTTTAGCTATAAAAATTATCTTGTTGGTAATTTTATTACTTAAATGTAGCAAAAAGATATAAAATTATATATAACAATTTTATTACTCCACCTCTTCAATAACAGTTGTCTATTATTGACTTTGCACACTTTTTAAAAATTATAAATAGAAGAGTAATTTTACTATATCACCCTTTGAATATAATAAATACAATGTCTTGAAAAATGTAATAGAGAAATGACTAAAATTAATGATAAGGATAAATTAGGGGCTAAGTGTAAAATTGTCCATTGATTTCATAAAGTGGACAAGTATTGCTGGACATCTCAAAATAGTATAGTGGACGACTATTGTTGGATGAAGGAAGTATTTCCTTGAGAGACACTATTTTATTTGTAGTTTTTATTAAGCTTTTAACCGTAAAAGACTACCTTTTTTATTATCTTATGACTCAAGTTTTCATTTTCATTTAGAAAATAATCAAATATGATATTTATATATAACAATTGTCTTATAATAATAACAGAATAGAAAATTTTAAAGGAGTATAGCTATATATTTATCTTTAAGTCTTGATGATATATTTTATCACAAAGTATCTTGAATGCGGCCTCAATTTAACTTACCCTAATTCTACTTCAATACAACATGCAATATCATTTTCAATCTCCCAATTTTCTTGGATTATCGACCCAAAATACTTAAAACTACCTCTCTTGGATATGAGTTGTGCATTCATCTCCATACTTCCATCTCCGCTTTACGTGTTTCATCTCCAAACTTCCAGTCTATTGTTAACTTCACCCCACGTCTCAGCGATAACGACTTTTGTACCATGTACCATCTTGAGCAGCCGAAAATATTGATACCAATAAATTAGGGATCATATGAAACGTTAGGAAATGCAAATTGGTGATCTAACGATAAAGATTGGATAATAATCTCACTTTTCTCTCTCCATAATCGGTTTGACTTTTGTAGATCGGTATATCGAACTCAAAAAGAAAAGACCATGACACTTCCTCTAGATATGGGCTTAGAAACCTATAAGGATTATGAATCGGCCCAAATATAAAACCAAACGGGTCAAACAAAATTCGAAGACAAAAGTATAAACATCAAGAATACGATAAAATTGCATTCTTTTTCCCCCTTTCGAGAACCAGAGCTCTTCGATTCCTCTTCAATTCAGGTAATTTTTCTTAAGTTCTCTTCAATTTCAATTCACAAACCCTAATAATGGAACCCCAAATCCGCAATTTCCCGGTTTTCATACAATCACCAGAGCTTCAGATCCCCACCCATGTCCTAAATCTTGAAACCCCTAATCCTAATTTCACTTTGCAAGACCTCAAATCATGTTTTTTTGATAAAACCCAGAAATCATTAGCTGCAATTAAGGATTCTGTCTATTTTACCTTTGATGGTCGACCCATTAAGGATTCAACTCTATTGTGTGGTTCTGGGATTAGCCCGTTTTCCACTTTGGTCCTACGTTTTCGCCTTCGTGGTGGAGGTGGTGATGGAGGTGCCACGGGTGCGGAGTCGCGAGACTGTTATCTTAAGATGTATGCTGTTAAGAAACCGGATAAAATTGACCCAAATGAGATTAGGTTGTCTAGATGGTTGAATTGTGCTTTGTCGAATGAGTCGTTAAAGCATCCGGTTGTCATTGATAAACTTGGGAATTTGTTCAATAAGGAGGCTTTAGTTGAGGCTTTATTGAAGAAAAGGGTGCCTAAGCAGTTTGGGTATATAAAGGGATTGAAAGATATGATTCTGGTTGAGCTGTCGGTGATTCCGGGGAAAGAGGATAGAGGGCTTGGTGATGGTGAAGGGACTGGATTTCAGTGTCCGGTAACGGGGTTGGAGTTCAATGGGAAGTACAAGTTCTTTGCTTTGAGGGGTTGTGGACATGTTTTGAGTGCAAAAGCGTTGAAGGAAGTGAAATCCTCAGCTTGTTTGGTTTGCCACAAGGAGATTGTGGAGAGTGACAAAATTGTGATCAACGGGAGTGAAGAAGAGGTTGCGGCTTTGAGGGAGAGAATGGAGGAAGAAAGGGTGAAATTGAAGGATAGTAAGAAGGTGAAGAAGGGGAGGAATGAGGATGTAGCTGTGAATGGTGAAGAGGTCATTGGGGCACCACGCTTGAGCGGGATGAAACATGGGATTGAGGATAAGCTAGTAGGCAAGGATGCGAGGAAAGTGGAAGGGAATGGTAAAATTGGCATTAAAAGTAAGATTGAAGTTAAGGATGTGAAGAATAGTGCGAGCAACGGGTCAGGGAAGAGGTTTAAGGCTGTTGATGTAGCTCCAGCTCATGCTACAAAGGAAGTCTATGCCTCCATTTTCACTTCATCAAGAAAGTCCGACTTCAAGGAGACTTACTCTTGCAGATCTTTGCCCCTTGGAAGAAACTGATAGCTGTTTTTGTCGAGGTGATCTGCTAGTGTCTTGGACTGGTATTATTGTCTTAAAAATGTTGTTTCACGAAAGATAGTTACATGCTAGACCACTGAGTCGTAGATGTTGCCTCTTGCCATATGATTCAGTCGGTACTTTATATGTATAACATACATTGTTATTGTACATTTGATATTGCTTTCCAGAGTCTGCTTGAAACACTATAGCAGCTTTTGTTCACTCGCTTATGCCCGTTTTCCGTTGATTTCTTATAAATGATTTGTACTTCTAGTAGTTCTTTTCATTCTGATACCGCTCATTCAGCTTTAAGATAATGTGATGACTGTCTTGAAGGTGGTTGGCTTCTTCCCAGATCGTTACACGCCTTATTTTAACATGTTGCACTGGTTTCCCTGAAACATGACATTCTCATTTAGTTGGTATAACGCCCAATTCTTGTGGGGGCTATAGTGATTGATTAGCTATCGAGGCTTTGTTTGATGCAGTGTAGTTTTCAAACGAGAACCTTTATTTTATCGTAGCACGCATGGGCAGACTATCTTCTGTCAATAAGCTCTTCTCTAATAAATAATTTCTTCTTGTTTCCTAATTGTTATTGCCCTTTGTTGACCTTTATTTCATTTGATAATTCCCTTGACTTATTCTGAACAAGGTTTATGTAGTTGTATATGAGAGTTTCTTGTTGGTTTCTGTATGTATTGCTTTCTGGTGGTTTCATGGTCTTCTTGTATGTCGCTATGTTGTTGTGCCTCTTATCTTGGTTCGTTCCAGTATGGCTCGATTTGCTTGTAGTAAAGATTGTGTTTACCCAGTCATGATATGATTTGCACCTACCAAATCACTCGACTAACTGGTCATAGAATCATCGTTAACTGTTGATGATTGTCTTAACAACAATAGCATACCTAGTATAGTCCCACAAGTGATGGCTGGGAGGGTGAGGTGTACGTAGACATGACCTCTACCTTCGTGGGGTAGGGAGGTTGTTTTCGATAGTTACCATCTCAAATAGGTAAATTCTCTTGTAATGAATGCAGGTTTTCATTTAGCATCATCCTCTCTTTGTCATCCAGCTAATAGCCTAATACTACAAGGAAAGTCTGCCTCTACATTCATTTTTGTATATTTGATGGTTTTGACTTGTATACATTGAATAGAATTGATTTTTATATGAGATTATTTTGAGTTGAAGATCTAATATCTATTTCGGAAAAGGGTTAAATATACTCTAGCACTATTGAAAATAATTTAAATATACTCCTCGTTATACTTTCAATCTAAACATACTCCTCTCTAAATATACTCCTACCCTTTTGGCTCAGTGGTTTGGGCTTGGGATTTTTATGTTAGAGGTCTCAAGTTCGAAACCCCTTGCCAGTAAAGCAAGATGATCCTCTTCTGGGTCGAGCTCATCGCATTGTGTTTGCCTTGTGCGATTACTATTTGCAAGCTATTGCATAGAAGGGGAGTTTTATCATGTGTGTGTCCAAAGAATAGCAGTTTCGAAATTTTCTTGTCATACATACATACATACTCTCCTCTCATTGTCCTTGGGTACAAAATTGTCCTTTCTCTTTTCAAATGTCTAAAGGATCTAGACTAATGTTTATAGCATGTGGAGATTTAAAACTTGCATTACCTCGAAATTAAGCAACAATATCGTTTTGTATCAACGTATAATGAGAGAGTTATATTTGAATTTAAAGTATAACGAAAGGAGTATATTTAAAATTATTTTCAATAATGCATAATATTTGATTCTTTTTTATTTCTATTTTACAAGATAAGAATAAAATTGTGTACATATTATCCTTTTTATATGTCACTTGTGAAATTATACCAAATTTTTTTTTTTGTATTACTCGTGCAAGAGAGAGTATAGATAATTAATTTGAATCATGATAACTGTCATTATTTAAGTCAACTTTTGCCCAACAGATTTTGAAAAATTATTTTTAAGTATCTATTTTACCAAATTCAACCACACTCCTAAAAATGCCCATTGTCACATTTCGGACATATTCATTTTCAATGATGTTGCGCAACATACGCGTTATCAACATAGTCTTGGAATAATTATGGTATCCTTTTAACCTTTGTTGCCACGACACGTTTATATTATACTATATTATATTCCTCCCTTTTAACATATGTATCAAATACTCACAAAAAATCTAGAAATCTCCATTCTCTTTCCCTTTGGTCAAAATAGTCCAAATTTCAAATTGGACTTCTTTTACTATTCTTCTCATATAAATAAATCATCTATCTCCACATCAACCATTTTCACATCAACCATGAACAAAATATCAAGCAAAACTTCTTTTATCCTATTCTTCTTTGTTATCGCTCTTTTTCTTCATGACGTAACTTCTATAGGTGTTAATTACGGGACTCTCGGAAACAACCTTCCTCCGCCAGCTCAAGTAGCTCAGTTCATCAAGGATAAAACGGTCATAGACCGTGTAAAGATTTTCGACATCAACCCGGACATCCTCCGTGCTTTTGCAAACACGGGAATCTCACTTACGGTCACAGTACCAAACGGCGAGATCCCGAATCTTCTGGATCTCGATTATGCTCGACGATACGTCGAGCAAAATATCAAACCTCATTACCCACAGACAAAGATCGACGTTGTTTTAGTGGGTAATGAGGTTCTTCATTGGGATACACCTGATGTACAGAACAAGCTTGTTCCAGCTATGAAAGTTTTTTACCAAGCTTTGGGTTTATCTGGGTTGAAGGGTATAAAAGTCTCTTCAGCTCATTCATTGGGTATTCTTCTCCGTTCTAATCCACCCAGCGCAGCCCGGTTTCGACCCGGTTGGGATGTGGGTATTCTAGCTCCGATGCTACAATTTCTTCGTGAAACAAAAGGTCCTTTCATGGTAAACCCTTATCCCTACTTCGGATACAACAAGAAGCAAGAGGATTTTCTTCTATTTAGAAAGAATAAAGGGGTTTACGATCGATTTTCGAAGAAATGGTACATGAATTCGTTCGATATGTTGTTGGATGCGGTGTATATGTCGATGGTGAGATTGAAATACCCAGATGTGGAGATTGTTGCTGCGGAGACAGGGTGGCCTTCGCAAGGAGAAACGTATGAACCGCAGTGTACTGTGGAAAATGCAGCTTCGTATAATGGTGGATTGATGAAGAAGTATAATTCCGGGATGGGTACGCCATTGATGCCGCACAGGAAGATCGAGACGTACATTTTTTCATTGTTCAATGAGAATACCAAACCCGGGTCGATCGCTGAGAGGAATTTCGGGTTGTTCCGACCCGATTTCACTCCGGTTTATGATGTCGGAGTTTTGAAAGCTAAACAGGTAATTTCGAAAAATTAATACTATTGTATATGACTAGTTATTTTACTAGTAATATAGTGTAATTGCATAACAAAGTTGATGTAGTTAATTTGATAAAAGCTAGGAGGGGCATTTAAGTCATTTTCTTAATTGGAATTATTATGATTATAATCGTACTGCTATAATAATTACAAGAAGCTTTTTGTAAATAATTTCCTTTTGTCTTTTGGTTTGAAGAATCTTTTTTTCCCAGTTGAGTACAGCTAGTTGTATTGCATTTTCCCACTCTAGAACCCTAGATAGATGGGAATATGTTTTCCATCTATGTGAAGCGCGTTTCGTACTTAATCGTTTCAATCTAGGTGTTTTAATTTGACAATAAATGGACCTTGAAATCATTATTATCACAATTAATCGAATTACTAACGTGGCATGGTCGAAAAGGAAAAAGTTGACACTTGTTCAGTGGCCACCACATGTTACGTAATAGATTAATAAAAATAAAATTTCTTCATTGGATTCTCTAGCATTAAATAATTGTCATTTTTCAGTGAACCAAAAAAGTTTAGCATGTCCAACGGCTACTTAATGAAACATGTGATGTAGTATTTACAAAATGAAAAAGAAATAGATTTCATGAGCATCATCTTTTTTCTATCTTTAAATTTGAATCTTGTCTTCTTTGTTTTTGTTTTTTACTTTATTCTCCCTTGTTTTTAATGTATTGCTTTTTTCCTTTCTGGTCCCACTAATTTAAAGATAGAAGGTTGTATTCAAAAGTGATGGATTTAGAATTTTCATGAAGTGGTGTTAACGGTTGTGGTGCCAGCAAGGCTTGAACACACAATCTTAGGAATTTTTGCAACCCCTTAATCACTATGTTGCATAGAGAATATATGATGGGTTGGTTATGATACGTTATTTGATTTATTTTAGTTCAAGTAAATTTCAGGTGATAATTATGTTAAGATTAGTGATCGGGCCATAAATTCATATAAAAATATTCATTATTATTGGAATTTGAACTTGTAACTTAAGTGGACAGTGGAGACTTTGACCATAGGGATCAATTGATAGACATTTTTCTTGAGATCTAAGATGAACATATTTTTTATTCACCGTGCGCTGACTGAAGCTACTATTGATCTCTTTACTATACTAAGATTTTTCACTTTCGTTATAAGAGATTCAAGAACTTGTATATATATAATTTTTTCTGAAAAATATTACTTTTGTTACATTGTATATATATTATTATACAAGCTAAGGATTCAATTGAACCACCTTGCCTCTTACTAGAGTGTGTCATTATGACTGATTTGACTTGTTTAAATGCAGTTTAATTGTCACCTCTAATCATTTACCTAACTAACATCTAAGTTTTATAATTTCGATACTTACAGGCTCACCCAACACCTTCATTGCCCCCACCAAAAACCGGTGGCGGAGGCAACAAAGGGCAACCAAAAACACCAGCAGAGAACAAAAAATTCTGCATGCCAAAGGTTGGGGCGACTGATGCACAACTACAATCCAACATTAACTATGTGTGCAGTGAAGGAGTTGACTGCACACCAATTCAAGTGGGTGGTTCGTGCTTTAAACCCAACACTATTCGGTCTCACGCGGCCTTCGCCATGAACTCGTACTACCAAAGGGAAGGCCGCAACAACTTTAACTGTGACTTTGCTGGTACTGGTCTAGTTGCCTCCTCCGATCCAAGTAAGGTTTTACAATAATGTATTGTCTAAATTTTCGTAAAATGTTCTGTATGATACAAAAATAAAATTATATGATCTTTCAAATGACATTGTGTGTGTTTTTTTTTTCTAGGTTATGGCACATGCAAATTTGAATCTTGAATGTAGGTGGAGCTGAGGATTATAGTATTGACTTGTAATA